ATTGACGTGATAGCCTCTGATTGACATTAGCTTAAAGATATTTCTCGACGTGATAGCCTCTGATTGACAGGTTTGAGGGAATGCCCCAGATTTGGATGAACTCGGAGAAATCGACTCTCGACTTAATTGCCCTATATTGGTGGAATCTACTAACTTCATCCCTAAAGGGTACTCCGACTATGAAGCACCAAGATGCTTTCTCCCTCCAATCTTTACCTAAGCATAAGACTTGGAAACTCGGCATCAATATGCAAGCAAAAACATTTAAAGAGTGATAACGAATGAATGAATAAAAATGAAAATAACACTTTAAGACAAGCATACTTATTACATTAATATTTTCATTCAAAAATAGACAAGTTTCTATGTACAAGTAATGTTTAAACAAACAAGCAAGAATGCAAATGAAAGTCCAGTAATGAAACCAATGATTGCCATCATTGAGGAGAATTGACTCCGTATGGACTTCTTGATTCTGATGACTTTCTGCAATCTTGATGCTTAAATAGGCGAGAGAATTCTCCTTTTGATCTGATATGAACACAACATCTTTGAATTGAGCCTGTCTTGGACCTTGCCTCTGGATGACATACCATCTTCAATCGAATGGCCAGGTGTCCCAGAATAAATGCATAGAAGGTTCTTTTAGGAGAGCGAATAAATTCTTTACCAAGCGAGTTGGCATAAACTGCATCGTCAAGCATATTACGCCACATAGAAATAATACAGTTTGTCTTCTATCAGAATAACAACAGAGACATCAGCCTGGTGAGAAAGAGTCCAACAGTTAGCCAAATGGGAACTAGACTTTTGGAAGAGACGCCAGACAGGTGTTGGGCTTTATACTTCAACCCCTTTATAGTCTTCAATATCAAAATCGGGTGCCTCAAAATAGGGGATACATCTAGCATGTGTATCATAATCAGAAGAGATGTTTGTGGGAGGAGGACCATAAAGATCAGAGCTTCCAATTGAACTTCCACCAGAAGAGGAAATAATTAGATGTAATGCAGTGGACTTGTACCAGCATGCTCATCAGGCTTCTTCTGTTTTTGCTTAAAAGCTTTTTTTCATGAATTCACTAGGGGAACAAAGACTGGCTGCTACCGAACAAATCAGGGAACACAAAGCTGTAGAGAGTGCCCCTGATTAAATAGTCAGATGCCTCGACATGGTAACCACATCTTACGTTGGTCAACAAGAATGAAGCATTGATATAAGATCTCATAGTAAATGGGAACCATCTGCTGATAAGATGTTCCAAGAACTCAATATTATGTAGCACTCCATGGTTGAAAGCAATCCCTAAAAGATAAAGAGAAGAGAAAACCTCTATTGTGGTAGTAGGTGCAAGATTGTTGACATCATCATCAGAGCTTCCATGACCTGGACTATCTGAGTCTTCAATTGATTATCTTCCTTCTCGAAGAATTCCTGACCACGGGCCAAAGCTTGTATGTATACCAGAATCAATCCCATCAGGATCTTCGTATCGGTCAATCCCCACGGAGTTATCCCATACTGATCTTCGAACATGTGCAGTAAGAAATCAAGTTGAACCTTTGAGGAGAACATCGGGTTTGAATAATAATCCCCAATCTTCGAGTACCTGTTATGGATGCATGAATATGTATGGGGTGCATGAATGGATGTCATGTCATGTTATATTATTTCCAAGGAATTTACGTGAATTTTGATTTTACGCAAGTAAAAGATGGAAGAGTTTAGCGCAAGACTTACAAATATGATTCCTTAGAAATAACAGAACATGTATGTTAAGCATGTGGTTAACCATGTTATGTATGCAAAGGCATGGGATCAAAGTTCCATCACTTCTGAATATGATTGTTGCACTGTTTCTGAACCATATGAATATCACCTGATCAAAGGTCTGACATAGCTTCTGCATATATAAGAACCAAGTACCATGTAGATCACCAATTGTATGGGATCGAGGCTTCTGGAACATCGGATACTGTTAAGCCTTTTGTGAACATGGTGGCAATACCAAGATCAAACGCCCGAATGAACCTCCAAGTAAACAAGTCAGGAACTCAGAAAATAAATTTGATAACCATACAATCACCAACAGAATATGGCATCTGAATAAGCCACCAACAGAAATCCAGAACATAACCATTAGAACCAATAGTCACTGTCTGATCATATTCACCATATGTACATGAGTAACCATCTTAACATAGTCACCATTTGTACCTGCGATAAAGTATTCCCGCCCCACTCACGGGTGAAGGACTAGGTCAGGGTTAGGCAATGGTAACTCAAAATCACGGGTTCTCTTGAGAGTACTATCATCGTACACCTACGTGATAATGATAGCACCTCATTAAAACCTCATCTGAGCGTGGACGACATAGCTGTCTAGGGTAATATACGTCCCTTATTTGTTGTGTTCTACTCTATTCCTAGTGTTCCTATGGTGCACTCTAGCATGGGTATTGGGCATTTTACCTCATAGTAACACCCGCCCAACAAGAAGCAGATCTGATACAGCAGTAGTATATGGAAGACAGTAAAATGCAATGCATACATATGCTCAGGTAATCATGTATGGATGAATAAGCTGAAATCATAAAAATAAGCACCCAAAGAAAGGAAACAAGATCTAGGAGTGACTCTGGGATGGACCAGCATTTGGTCGACCTTTCCCTAGTGAAGTCGCCAGCTGAAACAACCGTCTAAAAATCATCAAACAATGAAGTCGCAATTGTACGTCTTTTATCCCACATGAAGGGAAAGGTAAACATCGAGAAAACCTAGGAAGGGAAGAGTCACGGTCTTGCGACCGAGAGATAGGGTAAGGGAGTCTGTTACGCGAGGGGAAGGTATTAGCACCCCACGCGCCCGTAGTACTCTATGGTGTCCACTCGTGTTGTCTATCTTATGGGTGTGTTTAATCTATGCTTATTGTTTATTGTTGAAGAAGAATTCATGCAAAAGAAAGGAGAAAATAATGTAGGGAAAATAAAGTTGTACTCGCTTGGACCCTACCCCAATGCCTACGTATCTTTTTTGAGGAATCAGAGTTATCGTAGTTCGGCTAACCTGTTTGTTTGTTTTGTGTTTTTTATGGACGATGTTAATTTTTCCTTCTGCCGCAACTCGGCCTTTGGAGACTTACGCGTTGGAACAGAAGTAAATTAATCATGTCCTTACCTGAAAATGGTTTCAAATTACGCCCTCGAGGCAAGATGCCACATTAGATTGGTTTGTGTTTTTGTTACCTTGAAAAGGGGTTTAAGTGTTATTAGAGTGTTTTTGATTTGCCAAGAAAGGAAAGTTTTAGTTTTATATGCATATGCAAAAGGGGAAAAAAAGTGTCTATGGGGGACTAACCTATTTCTAAACCTAATGTTATCATACAATGGTGGCCTTATGATTTGGATAATAAAAGGGAAATGTCTACCTAATGTTAGCATGCATAGTTTGTGACCTAAAGTCTAACTTGCGTCCGAAGGGAGCAAGCACGTCCTAAGGGAGCACGGTATCTACAAGGATAAAAACAAACAAGCTCAAGAGAGCACACACATAAAATGGTAAAGAAAAGAAGCGAAATGCTTTAGCCAAGAGGAGCGTGTCACCCGAGACAAACAAGCGGGAGTGAGATGTAAAAACAAAAATGTGATGTCCAAAGCGACTGAACACCTAACCACGATATAGGAGATCTAGGTAGGCGATAGAAGATGATATGAACGATCATGGAGTATCAGAATCGGCCAATGAGAACTCCTAACAAAGCATGGGGGTTCGATTGCGGAACCCTTCCCCGCTTGACGACTCGATACACAAGAGCAGGCACAACTCCGAAGCGCCGTGGTGCGTCACGAGCTAAGGATGGCACAGATGAAATTGTGGGGGTTGATTACTAACCCTCCCTACTCGCCTCCTTTTGAGGACTTATCATCTGTACATATGCAAGCACAAATATAAACACACCTGCAGAATACCTACTCAAAGGTAGGGTTTTAAACAAACCACACACAGGTAGCACACAATGGAAATCAATGCAGAATTGCCCTAAATAGGTCTTTAAATAAACCAGAGGGTTCCTGACATGATCAGCAATGGAGACCCCCGTTATACATCTCTACCCTACTTCTCATGGCATCAAAAATCAGTAAAGCCCTACTTCTCATGATCTCTAAAAAAGCAGTAAATAAGTACGATAAAGTTTAGAAGTGAGGAATAAAATGAAGTTGTAATGGTACCAAACTGAGAAGGTATGTTGCCTCTTCAAAACCATGCAAGCAAAGGGAAAACTCTACAGAAGCGTCTTAGCATGAATGATCAAAGGATTAATCTCCAAGCATCCCATATCACAGAAGATTCGCCTCAACACTGTCATAAGCTCTCAACAACAATGACAACCAAATGATTAGAAAACATAAAAATGATAATGAAACTCTAATCAAAATTCTAAAAATAAATTCCAAAGAGTTATATTAAATATTTTTATTGTTTTATCATTTGTTTCTATTACAAAATTATGGAAAAGAAAGTAAAAACTAAAAGGTGATGAAAAGAAGATTAAGAGAGCCAGGGGGTGCAAAGTATGAATCAGATGGTGAGCTCAGAAAGTGGCACTAAGGCCCAGCAGATTAAGTCCATGACTTTTTTGCTCACCAACCCAGAAGCTGCCAAAAAGCTTTTGGGCCAAAGCCAAGAAAAGGGCTCGGTCCACACCAATGCCAACATTACTCCAAGCCTTTTTCAATCTTTCAGCATAATCATGTTTCAAAAATTATAAAAATTATAAAAAGAAAGGAACATAATGCAATGTCGTCTTGGAGAATTAGGGTTACACTGCTTGTGACCATTTAGATTCCTAATTTACTCAACCTTCTCTCTCTTCGCAAAAACTTTGCCTTACGCTTCTCGCGGAGTGATTTTCGGTGGTGAAACGCCACCGTGAGCCACTCTTAAAACTTCCTAAGCGCTAAATAATCAACACATACTCTGCTTCTTTTTCGTCCTTGACCATGAATCCATCATCAATTTCCTTAGATTCCATCCCTGACGTACCTCAATCTACTCCTAAACACAACCCTAAGAACCTCGGCGACGGTGAAATTATGGTCTGGTGAAGATTAACTCAGAGGTAATCTTCTTTACTCGCTCTCTTTCTTCACTTTCTCTTCTTCTTGTTTTCCTACGATTGCAAATCTTGTTATTGCATTTTCATTGCTAAAAAGTTATTGCTATTATTGTAGTGAAGGTTGAAGCGCTTGAGGCGAAATGAAAATGATGAAGAGGTGTTGTTGTACAGTTTTCAGAGAGAACACGAGATTGAAGGTGATTCTTCTATTGTGATGTTATTGAGATCACATAGGTGAGTGAGGTATGCGATAAAGAAGAAGAAGATGTGAAACTGATAAAATCAATGTTTATTGGGAAAAAACGATGAAGGCTGAAGAACTAGGATGATGATGAAACGATGGATGGTGAGCTTTGATAACAATGAAGATTGTTAATGGCGTAGAATAAGTGGAAGATTCGCCTTTGAAGCAGATGATGAAAGGTGCAGAGATTCTCAGAGCGTTTAATGAATAAAAAATGAGATAACCGAATTTTTTGTTATAGGCTAGTTCTACTAGAAGTTTGAGGTTGCAAAGTTAGTTATGGTTGGAGGTTGAAGAGGAAATCTCAGAAGAAATTGGTGATTCTCTAAGAATTGAAAGATGAAGAAGGTTGAAGATGATGAAGACTCAGGAAGAATTCTGAGAGAGTAGGATTGAGAAGTGAGTACCCTCTTGTAACTGTGACTTTCTGTTATCAATCGTATCTTTTTCTCCCTATTTTTTCCTGTTATCTTTCTGCTATATTGTTAAATTCAGTTAGTTTGGAGATTAGGGGGTTGGTTAGGGGTTGTAGATGGAAATGGTTGGAGTTGTTAATAGTCAGTTAGACAGTTGGTTATGTATTTGGGAATTCTGTTATGCTGAGCTGGCAGGTAGAAGGATGAGAAGCTGTTTTTTCTGTTAGTTTTCAGTTAGAGGGGTTATGGACAGGGCTGAAAACCCAACTGAAAGTTGGTTAGAAAAATCGGTTTTAAATGAGTTGTTAGGAACTAGAAATGAATGAATTTATTAGCCTTATTATTTGGATACTTTTGAATTGATTTTGTTGTAAAGTGGTATGGACCTATTTTTAATAATGCAGGATCACGGCTTCTGTTTTTTTGGATGAATGATTATATGAAGATTTTTCGTAACAAGCTTTCGTAAACTGATTTGGTGAACTGGTTTCTTGAACAAAATACAGGGCTGCCCATTTATTTGATTAAAAACTAGGTCTGATTTTGTAGTATTAGGGAAGGGATAAAGAATAGGATGTCCAAGGCATGTGCATTGCTAGAAGCTTAAGAAGTGAGCAAGGGTTAAAGATAAAACAACATGAAGATTGAAGATGAACAATCATAGGCTTAGGATAGTATTTATGGGTAGTTTTTGATGTATGATTTGTAACTTTTGGTAGTTTCTATGTAGCTTGTGTAAAGGAGATGGGAATGTGTGATGGAATTGATCACGAAATGTATATAGTAATGTTATTTTTCCTTCAAAGAAAATCTGAAATTCTTTTTCCTTCCTTTTGTTCTTTAATGTTCTTCATACTTAAATACTTCCAAATGCGAAATACAAATCTGAATGAATGCCTGGAATTGCGGTAATGTCAAAGTACTCGTACAAAAGTCCATATGACTTGGCCTATAAAAGTCATCCTTCAAGAGTTAACTTTATAACCAAATGAGAACATATTCATTCTTGCACCTTTGGAACAAATCACATATGAAAAGCTTAAGAGTTCAAAATGGACTTTGAAATTTTCCAATGCCTATAAGTTCTTTGTAAGGACTATAGTTTTTGTATTTCTTGTATGAATGATAACTATGAATATGGTTGGAATAAAATTTGAATTATGAAGAAAACTTTGTCTTGAAGCCTTTGCATGGATAAATCTTTGTACGAAACATGGTGAAAACCTTGGAACCAAGCCTGTATACCTTTCATATCTCCATGCTAATTGAATCCAAATTGAGCACTCATGTGCCATGCTTGCACTTTTTAAGAACCCTAATTCAAGTTTGAATTTCCAATTCACGATTCCTTGCCTTTGACGCACCATTTGATTGAAGAAAACCCTAATTTATGAAGGACGGATAAGTGAAACCTTGATCCCTAACTCAAACTTTAATATGCTTCCTTGCTTGATAAAGACCCAATGCATCAAACCCTGGTCTTGACTTGTAACGCAAGTAATTAGGAGAGGTTTTCAAATGAAATCCAAGCATGAGGTATTGAAGTAAAATTGATCAGGGTAACCACATAATCAACCTTAATCCAATGAACCTCAATAGAAGCATAATAGACGAAAACCTCTGATCTTAATTTCATAATTCACTACTTGCAGAAAGAACCAAATGAATTAGCTCTATTGGATGAAACCTCAAATCCATAAGAACCCTAATTTTCAAGATCATTAATCCCATGCTAAGTTACTCATCAATGATGCATGATGCGTAAAATGACCTAATGGAAATTATATACACGAGGAAAGTGCGAGATGCATAAGCCAGATAAAAGTGATAGGGTAAGACAAATTTGGGGTATTACAATGGGAAAAGAGAGAATAACCCAAAAGAGGGGGGAAAGATTCTAGGTAAGGGGGTTTTATGGAAAGGGAAGGTATTAGCACCCTAAACATCTACGGTACTCCACAGGAACCTCTTTGTAAAATTTGTATATTTTGGCTATAAAATGTTGTATAAAAAAATAGATTGTAGAGATGAGAAAAAAAGTGTTTTTTATAATTTTGTTGCACCCTCCGCGGTTGCGAACCTTTAGTGCCTAAGTACCACCTTCCGTGTAATAGGGGATCAGGGTACACATAGTTCACCTTGGAAAATTTTAAAACACAAGTGTGTTGGTTAATCTTAAGAGACAAGGCGTCATTGTCATTGTCCGAGTGGAAAACATACTTACTATCCACAATCATGAGAAAGGAGAATTTTCATTATCTCAAAGTGGGGGATATGGCTTGGATTTTAAAATCAACAAAGCCTCACTCAATACCCAAGTGGAAAATATCTCACTTCACTATATATTGTAGAAGTATAGTTGTTTGCATCACTATAAGGATTGACAAGAGTCTAATCTTTTGAGAAAATTTTAAAGTAAAAAGCCAAGATGGCAAAATGGTTTGAATGAGACTGATTGACTTTTAATATTCTCACGAAAAATGTAAATATATTGTTAAATTTATTAAAGTTTGATTAAGAAAATATTTTGAAAATGCATGGACCTAAGTCCGAGTTTATTATGAAAGTGGTTCAAGTTTAGAAACAAGAAGATTTTTTAAAAGGAGGGAGAAGATTTTTGAAATTAAATAAGATGGGAGGAGATGAAGAGACTATCCTAAAGTATAAGGTAAAAGCTAATGAGAAGATCCATCTAACCAACAAGAAGCCAACACTTGACATAATAAGTCAATATAGAATTCCATCCTTTGGATTTGAAACCAAGCAAACAATTAACAAACCTCTTAATAATACCAAGCTTCAATTTAAATTAAGACTTCATAAAAATTGGGCAGAGTAACAGATGTATACAGATGATTTCCAGATCATAGACAAAGCATGTAATCACAATTACCTACTGTTGTACCCCAAAATTTTCCCTCTCATTTTTCAAGGCATTTCTCACAAGGGTTCTCAAGATCCAAGCTTGTACAAGTACAATTGGATTTTCCAGTATCAAGTTGAAAAGGAAACTGCTAAAAAGGGGAAAACAGATAAAAAATAATCTTTTTGACAAAATTGGAGAAAAACAAGTCTTTTTGATTCAGCTCCTTTGATTGGCCTTTTGGCCTCTTTCGATGCAAGCTTGGCTTGCATCCTTCGACTGGGCGTTGGCCTCTGGCACGCTGGCTTGGATTCACAAGGCAGGAGCTTCCTGCACGCCATCTTCGATTGCATCTTTGGCCTCACATGGTTCACAATGCAATGGCTGCCTACGTGCCTGCTTCGATTAGATGTTTGATGTGTGCATGCTTGTGTTGACTGGACAAATATTCCCCCATATTTTCTTTGATTCGCGAGTTGATAACTAGCTTCATACAAGCCTTTGTTTGAGCCATAACTTCTTCCTTGCGTGCAAGCGGCTCCCCCATGCTAGCATGCATAAGGCACAAAGCCTCTTGTAGCCTCCTTCGATTACAAGGAAAAAGGCCTCCTTTTGGCATCCTTCGATTTCATCCTTGCCTCCTGTATGCCCCTTCATTTAGGCATGTGGCCCATTTTGTTGCAAGTTTCATTTGGGCATTTATACCTCATGCATGTAGGCTTCGACAGGGCATTGGCTATGTTTATACTAGCTTCGACTGGACAACATTTCCCTTTAGCATGTTTCAATTCCACCCTTGACAACCTTCAGCACGCATGGTTGGTAGATTTGAAGGGCCTACATAGGAGTCCCTGTCGAAGGTTTGCATAGTCCATTTGAAGGATACATTTGGCCCTTTTCAAAGAAACATACAAGACCCATTCAAGGGACATGTCCGGGCGTCCCATTCGAAGGACATGCTTGGTGGCCCATTCGAAGGATTTACAAAGCCCACCTTAAGGCATGTTTTGGTGACCCATCCAAGGGTCACACATTTGGCTCCTTTGAAGGATGCACAAAAGTGACCCATTCGAAGGACACTTGTTGGAGGAAAATCAAATAACATTGTTGGAAGAAGAATCTAGTCGAAGGATGGTCAAAATGAAAGAATGAAATATTCAAAGATGCTTGCTGCCAAGTTCAGGCCTGGTACACTGGTCAAAACTGCTTCACAGTAGTCCTAAAACATTGCCCCATGCTTGCTCCAAAATGGCATATAAATAATGCCCCTCGAAAGCTACAAAAGCAGTTTACTCAAATTGTTCAAACTATTTTGTTTTCCCTCCAAAAGCTTCATCCAGCTTTGCCTATAAATAAGAGGCTCCACAACATGTTTAAGGGGCTGGACACACATCCAAGGGTTATGGGGAACAAATCTTTAACACTTTCAAATACTTAAACACAAACACAAACACAAACCCAGAATCCAAATGCTTGCCTCTTTCAAATCTGAACCAATCCCCTACACCTTGTCCCTTCGAATTCAGTAGGAAGAACATCACACTTGTTCTTCTACTTCAAATCCACTACTAAAGGCATAACCTTTATTTCCTCCCTTCGAATCCAAAGGTACTCAGAGCAACCACTCAAGGTTCAGCATACAGCTTGAAGCAAGATAAGTCACTCTTACCCTTGAATCTTTTGTTTCAGGCATAATATGTGAATAATCTCCCCTTTTCATTTCCAACATATACATACCATTTTTCTTCTTTTTGTTTCCGCCCTTTTAACTTGCTTTCATTGATAACCTTCTTGGTTTTGCTTCTTGTTTATTTAAACATGTTGCAAGAACTAACCTGGCCATAAGGTAATGTTGGCATGGCTTTGGGACATGTTGTTGTTTAAAGTCTCAAATGAAAGAAACAGGGGGAAGGAAATATGAAATG